GACAGCGGCAAGGAACCAAAACTCCATCGGTGACAGAATGGAGAAAAAAACTTGGGAGAAACCAGGCTCAGTCGGGGGGCCAGTTCTCCTCTGACCAGACGAAACCAGCAGTTCAATTCCAGGCTGCAGCAATGTCACATTGTGCAGAGGACTCATCTGGTTCCTGTGGTCTTGTCCCGGTGGTCGTCTGAGACAAGGTCTTTACAGGGGATCTGTATCTGGGGCTCATCTAGTTGTCCTGGTCTCCTGGTCTACGCTGTCCTCGTTGTGAAAGCGAAACTACTTTGTTTGGCCTTCCAAAAATGGACACGACTAGAAATCAGTGGTTAAGTTGTATTTACAATATTGTTCCTGAACACTTCAAGCCAAATATTCAGATGTGGGCAGCACATTTTATGGAGGACCGTTTCCTGATCCTGGGAGAGTAGACTACAATGCTGGCTGTTCTGACTCAAAGATTAAGTATGTTTTTTATATTTAAAGAGTTTTTATATTTTATATATTGTTAAAACAGTCAACGTGACTACAGTGGTTCTACAATATTGTTATGAAGCGACAAGAATAATTTTTGTGTGCAAAAACAAAACAAAAATAATGACTTTATTCAACAACCTCTTCTCTTCTGTGTCATTCTCATACGTTGTTTACGTCCAGCGCTTCCAGGTTCTACGTCAGAACGTCGGCTCATTATTGGATGGCTCCGTCATCAACATCACACGCATGGGTCGCGCTGCTCACATGTGCAGCTTTGGCCAATAATGAGCCGGTGATCGGACGTAGAACACGGAAGCCTTCACTGTGCTTACTGCGTTAACCCGTGTAAGGATAATGACAGGGAAGAGAAGAGATTGCTGAATAAAGTTATTAGTTTTGTTTTTACGCACAAAAAGTATTCTCGTCACTTCATAAAATTATTGTAGAACCACTGTAGCCACATCGACTGTTTTAACGACGTCTTTAGTACCTTTATGGATCTTGAAAGTTTGGGTGGCGTTGCCGTCAATGAAGGCCTCTCTGAGCCATCGGATTTGATCAAAAATATCTTTATTTGTGTTCTGAAGATTAACGAAAGTCTAAGAGGTGTGGAACGACATGAGGATGAGTAATTAGTGAAATAATTAACATTTTTGGGTGAACAAACCCTTTAACGGTTCGGAACAACACAACTTCCATGTCGTTAGGGAGGAAATTCTCTATGGCTGAACCTGAAGGGGCTGATTCTGCCAAACTGGGTACACAAGAGATTATAATTGATATATTATCTCAAGGGAAGGAACGACAAGAAAAAGGAGAGGCTTGTGAGAAAAAAGGGTGCAAAGAAGTCAAAGAAAGGTCCTAAAGGTATCAAACTAAACAGGAAGAAAGAATACTTTTTAATGAAGAAAAAGTAGACTCTCCAGAAACACTTGTGAAAGCTCATCAAGCAGCATATGCATATCTTAACCCCAGCATCAGTAAATATGAAGATTTCTTGGGGTTACTTGATCATGCAGCCCAAACCAAAATTCCCCTGCAACCCATGGTGGCGTTCATGGTCTTACGCTATGAGGAAATAAACAAAGGGCTGCACGAAATAGTGGAAGATTATGTTAAAAGGTAATGGAGAGCATCTGGCTTGGCCTTGCAAAAAAAAGAATTCCTCTTCACCCAACTCAACAAAACAGGTGACCTCTCCCACCTGCAGTGAGCCCCCACCAGATCTACTAAAAAAACTCCTTCAGTACACCGTACAGAGGATGCGTCAGGTATCTAGATTAATGCGGCTGCTGTTTCGGATTGAGGCAGCATCACAGAAAAAACCTGGCCCAGAAGACTCTGCTCTATTTCGTGAAGACAGTGGACTTGGGACAGAAAGCGAGTACCTGGCAGGTTCAGACAGACAATGCCAACAGATAGAAAGTTCTGAGTCAACTGGGACTATTTATGCTACATCAGGTAGCCCTTGTGGATCTACACCAGTACCCCGCTTGCACCTTCTGGCCTGTTCGGCGATGCTGTCAATTCCGTCGTTGACGGGTAACGGGAGACTTGTAAACAGGCGGCGGTGTTTCAGCGGTTTCTCCCTCGCCGCATCTCAGCTCTGGGGGATGCTGGGCGGGAGCAGTCCACTCCGCGTACCAGCTACTCATATAGGGAGGCTCAGAAACAGGGTTTGGGGACTTCGAAGCCTAAGCTGGATCTGCAGACCGTCCTTCAGGCTAAGAGGTCCTCGACCAAAAAGTCCTGACTATTCGGCCAACCACAAATGCCTCTATGCTGCCACCATAGCTGCCATGGACCGCCCAATGGTGCGGGTGGTCTCCTTGGTGGTGCGGAGAGAGAGAGAGAGATCAGCGGTTTTCCTTAACTCTGCGATGTTATCAGAGTTAAGCTCCTCACCCTCATCTAGCTCTTTAAGCAGGTCTACCTGGTACGCCTGTAACACAGACGTTGTGTGCAGACACGCACCGGCCTGACCTGCTGCTGCGTACTCCTTGCCCACCAGCGCTGATGTCGTACGCAGCGGTTTGGAGGGCAGTGCCGGAGCCTTTAACCCTCTGGGGTCCGAGGGTGTTTTGGGGCCTGGAAAAGTTTTGACATGCCCTGACATTTGTGCTTTTTTCAGTTGCTTACAAACATTTTAATGTTTAAAGTTTAATAACACTGTAATCAGCACAAACTGGGCTACAATAATATGTGAGCAGCATGTATGTACGTGATTGTGTTTTTGAGAAAACAACGTTTATGCGTGCTAAGTGAGAAACTACAATTTTAAAGTCACTGAAATAAGGCCATAAAAGACATACAGAACATTTGTTCACAAGACTTTTGAGAACTGATCTTGAAGTCTAGAGTCTTTGCGTCAAAATTATGTGAAAATCCTCTTACTCGCTCACAGAAAACAATATATTGATTTAAATTTTCTAAGACACTTTTTGTGTAGGTTTATGCGAGTAGGCGTGAATGATCATGAATAATGCTGTGATTCACACCTGAGAAGACAAAGGCCTGCATAATGAGCTGTCAGGTGTGTGACTGAGAGGGAATTGCTACAAGAAAGAATGCAAGGAAAAAATAAATTTCTATATTTTTTGTTTGTAGTTTATTTAGAATACATATAACTATCACATAAAATAACTCATGGGAGTGTGTGCATCACATGGTCTTAGCTGTGGTCCAGGATCTTGTGCAGGCAGGAATCTCCATTTCCATGACCAAGTGGGCCGCTTTGCTTTGGCTCTCTTTGCAACAGGTCCTTTTACACTGTTATTCTCACATGTGAAATAAAAAAGCAAGCATGCTGTTTACACAAACTACATTATTATGATGTTCACTGATACTAGTACTAATTTATCGAAACAAAGAACACAATTACCACATAGCAAAAATAGTGTACCATACAGCAAATAAATCAAATGAAAGTAACATCTGTAAAATAGTGAATGCACACTTACTCTAAGATTCTGAATTGAGTTGAAAACTGAACGAGCGTCCGCTTACTGTGAGAGATGCAGGTGAAGGCAAGAGTGGTGTATTCAGTTCTAAAAGAATTTTATAAACAATTGTAAGCATTTTTTTCCCCCACAGTACCTTAGTATAGTATGCATACTTCATGAGAAAACAATGCCAATAACAAAGAAACTACATTTTAACACTATCAACCACAAATAATATTACCATATAGTCTAGGCATAATAAAAGTACAATTACTTTACTGTGCACTTACTCAGTATGATTTTCCAGCGAACTCAAAACTGAATGACACGTGTGCCTTTTTTGTGCAATTATGCCAGTGATGCAGCCACAGTCCTAAACGAAAACTGAAACAGTTGTTAACAATTACCAGAAGATGCATAGCTGATAAATAAATTGCATCACTGATAAGAAAGGACGCGCGTGTCACAATACACTTTCGAGGAACGAGGAGACACGAGAATAATTTCACAAGGCTTTAATTCCATGAACCAAGGCAGACAAACTCAGGAAGACATTTAACAGCGGACAGAGAACTAGGGACTGGGAACACTTTAAATACACACAGGAGGAGGGGATGACAAGACACACCTGGGAGCAATGAAACATCAAGGGAAACACCTGGGACAAATGAACTTAACTAATCAGGACAGGAACAGGAAACTAACCAAATGCGGGCATATGAAGGCACATGGGGAGCAAGACACACACAAAACATGGAACAGAGTCTGACATAACACCCCCCTCCGGAAGGCGTGTCCTCACGCCATATACCATCCAATGGGGAGGGGGGGTGGGCATTCTGGACAGAAGCCCTTTCTGGGCTGAACTGGGAATCGGGAGCCCTTCCTGGGCTTAACTGGGGAACAGGGTAGCGCCTACGTTGTGCTGGTACTGGAGGGCGCTCTGGAGGAGCAGGCACAGCACAGTGCACTCGAGGGGCTGGGATTGGAGCGAGCTCTGGGGCTGGAGCCGACACTGGAGCGAGCTCTGGGGCTTCATCAACACATGGCGGGCTTGCCACACTAACGTTCTCTGGGCTTGGCACATTAATGTCCTTTGGGCTTGCCACATTCACTGCCGGCCGACTTGGTGAAGCCGCGGACTGGTTCTGGCTCAGGACCGGACACTCCCCAGACACCGGAAAACTCCTTCCCTCCAAGTTAGTCCAGTGGTGTCTGGGAGGTCCACGGGGCGATGGTAGTTGGCCCCGAGCCAGAACAGCTGATTGAGGCCGGCATCCCCTAACACCGTCACCTCAATGAGCTTGCAGAACTCCCTGGCGTACTCGGGAAGACGTTTAACAGTGGACAGAGAACTAGGGACTAGGAACACTTTAAATACACACAGGAGGAGGGGATGACGAGACACACCTGGGAGCAATGAAACATCAAGGGAAACACCTGGGACAAATTAACTTAACTAATCAGGACAGGAACAGGAAACTAACCAAATACGGGCATAGGAAGGCACATGGGGAGCAAGACACACATAGAACATGGAACAGAGTCTGACAGCGCGTATATGTCTGTCGATGCATCACTTATTTACAGTTTACTTGACACGTTTACACATCAGATGATCGCAAACGCCAATGACCGAGTATAAAACATGCAACATATTAACATTATAACTCACATTACTTTTATATCGTTGCTGTCTATTTTATAGAACATAAAAAAAAACTTCCTGGCGTTGTGAGACATATATGCAGTAAATGAATCTCCATAATGTTTCACTTGATTGTACATTTAGTCAGGAATCATGTTTTGGAAAAAGTAACTAGTAAAATATGTACAAGTTATGTCACATTAACACAATAGCAACTAATGCAAGTAGGCAAATAAAAAAACACTTACTATATCCTCCACTGAATATCACGCCGGCGCATTCTTCTGAGGAAAATCCAAAGCTTATTCCTCGCAGCTCGTCTTCTTCCAGAAGCGAAGTAGCCGAGATGAACTTGAGAAAAAAATCTTGCTGCTTTGTTTGCTGTGATGTGGGCGTTTACATGCGCGCGTCTCACGTGGACGATTGTAATATCAAAGTGCGATCGGCGCGTAGTCACATTAGCGATAATGAGGGCGACGGCCAAGACTTGACATCGCGTTGGTTTCATACTGATTACTTTGTCACATAATATTTGCTTTTGTCATGACTTACTTCGTTTAAAAGTAGACAGGTTAAACTTTCTATAGATATATCTGTCATGTGTGTGTGTCAAATATTCGCTGAGTTTCAGTTCATTTTAGTGACGTGTTTCAAACAGATAAGTGCGGAGAATGAGACGGCTGAAAGCACACCCTGTTTATTTTCTTTATTTTGCAAAAGCACAGTGTTTTGTTGATATTGTGAGTGTACACAAATAAAAGTAGACCCTTTACAGATTTAAATGCTGTATTACTCTTATATGTACAGTCAAGTATGAAGGAGCATTTTAGTTCTTTTCGCTGTCATTCAAATCTCCAAAAAGTTCCGCCGCCAGAACTGTCGACCCCAGTAGGTTAAGGACGATGCCCTGCCTGGGGACAGATAGCTAGCTAGCTAGCATCTGTTCAACCCGGGGCATCACCCTATAGCCACGCTCACTCAACCCCGCCACATTCCCAGTGT